TAACTACTAGACCCCTTAAAATTAGGATAAATGAACATCGGTCACGCATAAGGAATGGGTCCACTGACTCTTCACTATATGTACATTTTAATGAAAAAGCACATACACACCATAGTTTTAAATTTTGCGCTTTGGAAAAAATATTACCCAGACCAAATGCGGATGTAAAAAACTCCTTCTGCAAAGGGAATCTTATTGGATCTTTAAACTACAAACACTGGTTCCTCTAGGACTAAATGACAAAATTGAATACACTTGTTTCTTGTGAGATGTAATTCTACTTAAGTGTTAGCCAATCCTTACCTCATTGCTCGTTATAGAACTCCTACTATTACAGAGCCTGTATTGCTGAAGAGAATGTAAGTAGGGTAGCGTGTTTCTTTACTGTTATTACTATATGTTTCTCTAGCAATGTTATTTTGGGAGTTTCATGTATCTATTGTGTATGTTATTTCTTCTCCCTATTTAGTGCACTAAGCATAATATTATAACAGACTACACCCTGAGGAAGATATTTGTTCGAAACAAGGATAACAAACCGGAAGACCTTGTTGATTTTGTTGCCTATGAAAGATTTTGTTACCTAAGAAGAATTCCTTGAGACTGAGATTTTGTTGCCTAAGAAAGACTGTGTTGCTTAAAGAAGAATTCCTTGAGACTATCTTGCCAAAAGAAGAATTCTTTTGAAGATAAAGATAGAGACCTTTTAATTCCTTCACTGAAAGGATGGACTTTATTATCTTTAGTCTGTTGTTTATTTCTCTATAATAATGTGCTGATAACAATTTTGTTTTATGTATAAATTCTCAGACAAGTTATACTAATAGAGAACACAGAATACTGCTGTATATTACTGTCTTGAGAGTCTATTTAGATTTACATACATATATTTCTGTTCTATGAAGGGCAAACTGTCAGACATTAAAGGCACAGACGTACAATGATTCAAATTCAAATGAACTTTTCAAACTCTGGGAAGAAGTATATGCACACATTATGACCTCTCTAGAGCTAACTATGTCACTCTTGCTGTTCCGGGAACCTGTAGTTCTGCTGCCTTGTTTCATATTAAACTGATTCTTCAGCCAAGCTCCCAGGATGAGAACAATAAAATTCAAAATTCAAACACAGACTAAATATGTATAGATAGAAGCACCAGGATGGGTTTTTCTGTAATATATTGGTTATATGCATTTTTTGCTTCTTGTATATATCATGTCACCAGACCCAGAGCTAATACTTGTGTGTATATCGAATTGCCTGTCAATTTATGATAACCCTATGAATTTTATAGGAATTTCTTAAGCAAGGAATATTCAGAGGTGGCTTTACCAGTAAATTCTTATAACTCTTGTTTCCTTCTACAGTGGCAAACTGTCGCAATTCATGGTTGATGGGTAGGGAAGGTTTACCAAGCCGAAAAGGCACAAGCAAGAAATGATGGCTAACTTGCAATATGTAGATTGGATGTATATTCACAAAAAATGCTAAGTGCTGTCCAGGGTACCAGAAGAACTAAGAAAGAATCAGAATGTATATATACTCCAGCTGAGCTAGCAGACTAAAAACTGTAACTTGATTCTTGCCATTCGTAAAAGTTAGGTCAATGCTCAAAACTGAAAAAAATAAATTACTTAATTTTGCTTAATTTCACTGAATTAATGTCAAGTGTATGACTAATGTATAGAATACCTTCTGAAAGTTCAGCACATGTTGTAACGGCATCAAAAAAGATGAAAGATGTTAGCTTTCTGAACATGTTAAGATAGAGTTGGAAACTGAGAAATAGGAAATATATTAAAATGCTGTTCCCCACACTGCCTCAATTTATGTTAACTGTAAAAAAAAATATCTCCAAGAGTGGTTTACCCAAGTCAGCAATCTAAACCTGTTCTTGTAATTAACAGGTCCTTTTGTTGCAGGAGTTGCTATAAAGGAACCTTAATGCTGATGTAGTCTATAAATGGACATCACATCACTTAAGTTTAACTACAGTATAAGACACCAAGACACTATGTGGATCAATGTCCAAAATACAGGGTGTAGTAAAGTGGGGGCTGTGTTCCAAAAGACAACTTTTCCAACCTCTATCGGAGTGAAACAAAAGGAATCAGAAACAGAGAGAAAGAAACGATGAAGAAAAACTACAAAGCCTAAAATCTCTTATTTATCTTGGCAAGAGGATTTAAAGAATATGTAGAGCTAGGAAGTGAGCAGATAGCCCTGAGGCTACATACTGCAGCTCTCCAATACATCTGTTTGTAGTCTTGCAATATTAACTTCCGCTTGCTCTCAGTGCCAAAGAAGCAAGCCAGACCACCTGCACTTGAGAGAAAAGCCACCAGTTTTCCAGACACAAAGACAGAAGTACCTGGGAGCTTTAGCTCCCAAACAACATCACACATGGGAGAACAGATACATTTTGATGCCAGTTCTAGATCAAGGGATGTATTTTTCAAAGCAAGAGACATTTGGAGTGGGAGACCAACTCCCTCTCTATATGGGAAAAAATATTTCAAAAATACAGTTCTTTTTCCACTACATAAGTGCCCTGTGTAGAGACTCTTGTATGGGTCCTTATTTTCCTTAATCTTTATCATTGTCCAATAGATTAACCCACTCCCTTAGGCTACAATCTATGGGTCAGATAGAAAACAGTGTTCCCTCTTTGAACTCTTGTCACTGTTTTAAATCCCGGTAAAGGTCCAACAAAGAGGCAATCACAGTAAGAAAGGGACCTGTAGAAGCAGAAGCACCCAAGCAATCAGCAACATGTACCAGTGGACCCTTCAATAGTTTGATCACAACTTTGGAATGGGTCTTGGAAATTGCCCAATGAAGTCAGTCACTAACACTTGCCTTACCTAATAGATCCAGAAATTGCAGGATGAAAACAGGTAAAATGTAAATAGAAAACAATTATTTTAATTAATTTAATAAGACTGGGTTTGACAAGTGCTTAAATAATGGAATAGTTTGATTCTAATACCAACCAAGATAAATTACAGCAGAATAAATCAAAAAGGAAAATCAAACTAGCATTCCTCAATGCATGTATACTTCCCATAACTCTGTGATCTGAGTTTCTGTCCATCTTATGGAGATACTTTCTTCACATTGGCTAAAAAGACATTAAATATCTACATAAGTCACTTATGCATTTGCTGAGTTTTTATAGCACACACAAAACATTTCTGTCCCAACAACTGAGACAGAGAGCAACTGTATTCCTCGGCTATGGCATAAAGGCAGCACCATGGAAAGTCTCATCACTACTTCAACTGGCAAACAGAGATTCTTACCAGAGGATCAGAAGGCAGGTACTTACATTTCAGTCACAACTACAACCCTAGAGATGGCACCCTGGAAATACATTTCTGACATGCAAATGAGGTCCTGTATCAAAGTTGTTCAGTTCAACAGATCAAGAGGCTAAAGTGAATTGCTAACCCCAAATAACTGAATTATGATGAATAGTAAAGCAACACTTGTGAAAATTTTATTGCTTCAATCAGATCTATAAATAAGTAATAGAATTTAGGCTAAATGTACACCAAAAGAGTTGAAATTTAAAAGTTTTTGTTTTGAAAAACAGAATTTTCAGCTTGAACATCTTTGTTTAATTATAGATCATTATAAGTTAATTTCAGTGCTATTTCAATTATATAATCTATTGATCATGTTCATAATCAATTCTAGCTGCAGGGGTTTTCACCACATAGTTAGAGGACATCACTACTATAAAATCAAACCAATATATTCCACAGTGCCAGGGTGCATTTGTCTATACACATAACATGGTTTTACAATACCACTCCATTTTACCAGAATATTTCAAAAGAAGTACAGTACAGGAAATGAAATTATCAGTGCATCTTTACGTATAAAACTAATGATGTATTTCATGTGAAAAGAAAGAAGGTGAAGTCTAGAGGCCTGACACCATGCGAAAGATCAGAACTCAATTGTATTTCTGAAATACATTTTGTCCTTCCCAACATGCTTGCTTTTTCTCTCTCCCTCCTTCCTGCCTTTTTCTCAGAACAATTTGGCCAGTGCTTGCAGAAGGCTGTTCTAGCCTCAGGGATTCTCACACATACTTCTGTTGACAGAGAGTTCCTGTGTAGCAAGCTTTCTGTTAAAAGATCTATTTGTGTCCTTTTATATTCTGCCCCAACATTTGGAAGATTTTCTAGCTGCTTGGTTTCTGCTCTTGCACTCATGGAAAACTTGAATTTGGGATTTTCTCGCAGAACAGGGAAGGTAAAACCATCCATGACAAACTTCTTATTTCTGTTTTCTTAGTTCATATCTTTCTATTTATATTTATTTCTCCTAGTAATAATAAAATCTTTTAATTAGTAATCAGGAGCGTTTAAAGGGTCTATAACACCATGACTGGAAAATAACAAGCTTGTAGGATGAAGACATTTGTTAAAAATCATCTGTTGTTTCTTTGGTCAGGTTACACTTTCAAGCTTGGTAGTCAACAAGTTTTTAAAAAACTAATGCTTATATTATTATTGTATAAATGGGTATGAAATGAAAGTATGTGAAAAATCCACATACACTGATTCTGTAATCAAAACAATATTTGAAATGTAATAATTTACAAAGTATGTATAAAAACTGGTTTCCTTTAAAAACCATTTTTGAAAATGACAATTAGCTTCTTGCCAGATGTTTCAAGATACTTTGCATTACATTTGGTGTTGACCTTATTCTGATCATCATAATTTCTAATGGAAAGTTGGGATATGCAAGCAGTACAGAAACAGGTCCCAATATCATAATTCTTGTAATTGTGTGTTTCCAAGCATTTCTACATATGCTTACATGCATCAAGTTTGTACCTGAAGATTTGTCATTTTCAATACTAAATTCATTCTGCAGTTTTACTAGAACTGTTAAATACAATAATGTTTCTAACAAACTATTCTATATTTCAGGAACAAAGAAATCTTGGGTAATATTCATGATTCTCCAAATAACAGAGCAAAGGTATAAGTCCTAATAAATAAATGAAAAACTTAATAAGAAATCATAAGACAAAGCACATCTGGAAATGCAACTGAATTTGGCCTTGCCTGATGGATGAAACTTGTAAGAATGGAAACTCAACAAATCAATAAACGGGCTTGTCCTGCACTTGCCAACTCTGACAAGCTACTTGAGACTTCAGCAGAAATAAAGGATGAAACCGAAGTGAAGGTCCACTGCCATTTTCAGAAAGACAGTTCACATCCAGTGCTTCTGTCTCATTTGACATACAATGAAACATCTATGGAATTAACCAAAGATATTTGTTCTCTGTATGCAGATGGAAAGTCTACAGAAAATCAGACTGATGGAGAATTACTGTATCCCTCAGATTGCAATGGAGTGGGTGATCAAACTCAGTCTTCTTCTCATCTTCTGCCTAAATCAAGCTCTGATGAGAGATCAGACAAAAATCATGAAATTAATCTTTTTAAAAAGAAGCAAAATACTGGTAGCTGTTCAGACATCCAATTGTCATCACCCAGAAATAACTGTGTATTTCAGGTTGATGAGATGACAAATATAGATGTTTCTTCATCAGAAGATCAAGAAGATGAGGAGGATGAGGATATTTTTACAGAGCTACCAGTAAATGAGACAGTCTTGGAAAGTACGCACAAAACATACCTTTTTCAAGCAAGAGGAGACAGATATCACTGCATCAGCGATAAATGCCACCTTCCTCCTGTCATTGGTTGCAGTGATCACAATCAGAAGACACTGAAAGAGTACAAAATGCATGTGAAGGTAGGGTGTGATTTCATGATATTAAAATATGCGGTGGGGGGGGGGGGGGGGGGAAGTACCTGACTGAAATTTTGCTTTAGTCACTGGGATACAGAATTTTCCAAAGTTGTGCATCAGTAGAACAAGGCAGATGTGATGATAAAGTATTGTCACTTTAAAATTATTTCTGCTTTGAGGAGGACCACAGTAAAAACTGAATCAAGATCTACACAGCATGCACAGTTCCTTTTATCCCTACAAGAAAAACTATTCCACGGAAGCTAGGAAAAATGATTCAAAAGTAGCCAAGAGATCATAAAATGATTCATGCGTCTAGGCAAGATATAAACATAAGAACAATTCTAAAGTAAGTGAACAGATTTTGCTATTTATATTGTTTTTAGAATCAGTCAGTATTTTGGCAATCATTACATTCTCATTTTTGATCCAAGAATGGGCCACGGATTGGCTAATACAGCTTAAACTACTAATGTAGCAATTTTACTACACACAACATTGGCCTTCATATTACATTTTGCTTTGGACAGCAGATCCAGATGTCATGGATCAGTCATGTCCATCATCAGTGCTATTTTCCATTGTTGTTCGGTGTCCCTCCCATCTGTAAACTTTGAAATGGACTCTAGCAGTTACTTCCAAAAATTGTAGGACATCAGAGCTGCAGGAAAGGCTCTTCTTCAGAGTAAGACATTATAGGTGAGGGAAAGCTAAAGAGTGATTGAAAAAGAAAAAATCTAGATAGGCCTAGCTCCAGTGTATTATCAGCAGAAGATTGTGGTTGATCATAAGTTGAACATGATCCAGCAGTGTGATGAAGCAAAGAAGGTAAATAATATTTTAGCCAGCATTAATAGAATCATAATTTTCAACTCAAAGGACACAATACTCCCACTATATTCTGCACTAATAAGGCTTTATTTGGAACTAGCTGTGCCCTGCCACGCGTTGCTGTGGCCTATAGTAAAACTTATCAAAGTTGAGGTAGATATCTGGACTATTATGAAAGAGAGGTACCTACTATTTGAGAGAGGAGGAAAGAGACAACTAAATGGAGGCGAGTGTCTTCTAGCGGCGGATCAGTAGAATATATATCGCGGTAGTAGCACGAATCTGGAAAATCTTGTCATTCATTGTAATTATTTGACAGCGGTGAAGATTGGTTTTAAAATTAGAATATATTTTCTTTTTGGATAAAAATTTATATGGGAAGGTCTCCCTGTTTGCTTCCTTCTTTCTCTTTTTATTTCACCACCATCATAACAATAACAATAATGCAATGCATTGCCTCTGGGACCTAACACCTCTCCCATTCCCCCAGGGTCTAATAGGAATAATAGCATAATAATAATAGAAATAACAACCTTTACCCGCCACTCGTTGCTGTGGCCAACCTTCCCTCTTTCTCTCCTTCTTTCCTTCCTTCCTTCCTTCCTTCCCTCCCATCTTTCCTTTTCCTCTTCCTTCTCTATCTCTTTCCTTCCTTCCCCCTTTTTCTTTCTCTTCTGGTCTCTTTTCTTCCTTCTCTCTTTCCTTCTTTCCTTCCCTCCCTTTTTCTCTACATCTTCCCCCTTCCTTCACTCCCTCTTTCCTTCCTTCATTCCCTTTTTTCTTTCCCTCTCTCCTTCCTTCCTTCCTTCCCCCTTTTTCTTTCTCTTCTGGCTTTCTTCCTTCTCTCTTCTTCTTTCCTTCCTCCCTCTTTCTCTCTCTTCCCCTTCCTTCACTCCCTCTTTCCTTCCATTCCCTTTTTTTCTTTCCTTCTCTCCTTCCTTCCTTTCCCCTTTTTCTTCCTCTTCTTGTTCTTTCTTCCTTCTCACTTTCCTTCTTTCCTTCCCTTCCTCTTTCTCTCTCTTCCCCTTCCTCTCCCTCTTTTTCTTCTTCCTTCTTTCCTTCCTCCTTCTTTTCCCCTTTTTCTTTCCTCCTCTCTCTTCTTTCCTTCTCTCCCTCTTTCCTCTTCCTTCCCCCTTTTCTTTCTCTTCTCTCTCCTCCTTTTCCTTCCTTCCTCTTCCTTTTCTTTCTTTCTTCTTCCTTCTTTCTCTAACTTTCCTTCCTTCCCCCTTTTTCTTTACCTCCCTTTCTGTTTCTTCCTTCTTTCCTTCCTTCCTGTCTTTCCTGGATTTTGACGGCGGGAAGGGGCGGGGTGGGGTTTGGAGGTGGCGTGAAGTAAAATGAGGTAAGATTGGGGCAGGGGAGTGATGGAGCGTGGGGTTGCGTGTGTGTGTTTGGGGCAGGGGAGTGATGGAGCGTGGGGTGGCGTGTGTGTGTGCGGCGGCGGGGGGAGTGATGGAGCGTGGGGGGTGCGTGTGTGTGTGCGGCGGGGGGGGTGGGTTGCGTGTGTGCGGCGGCGGGGAGTGATGGAGCGTGGGGTTGCGTGTGTGTGTGCGCGGCGGGGGAGTGATGGAGCGTGGGGTTGCGTGTGTGCGTGCGGCGGGGGGGAGTGATGGGGGTTGCGTGTGTGTGTGCGGCGGCGGGGGGAGTGATGGAGCGTGGGGTTGCGTGTGTGTGTGCGGCGTGTGTGGCTAAGTTTCATTGGGGGTTTTTGAGTGTGTGCGGCGGCGGGGAGTGATGGGGTTGCGGTGTGTGTGCGGCGGCGGGGGAGTGATAGAGCGTGGGGTTGCGTGTGTGTGTGCGGCGGCGGGGGGAGTGATGGAGCGTGGGGTTGCGTGTGTGTGTGCGGCTGCTGGGGAGTGATGGAGCATGGGGTTGCATGTGCGTGTGCGGCGGCGGGGGAGTGATGGAGCGTGGGGTTGCGTGTGTGTGTGCGGTGGCAGGGGGAGTGATGGAGCTTGGGGTTGTGTGCGTGCGTGCAGCAGGGGGCGGGTGCGGAAGCGCGGCGGGGCTTGGAGTGGGCATGGCTTCCGCAGAGGGAACGTTGGCCGGAAGGCTGTGTGCGCGCCCAGGGAACTTGCGGCTGGGCGCCAATGCGCATGCTCAGTTGTTTTGCCGTATTGTGAGTGTGTTGTTGTGTTGTTTTTCATTTTGAGTAGATATGTTTGTACCTTGTGGGTTGTGTTATGGGCATGGGAATTTTGGTTAAATTTCGTTGGGGTTTTTTGAGTTTTGTTGTTTTGCCGTTTTGTGAGTGTGTTGTTGTGTTGTTTTTCATTTTGAGTAGATATGTTTGTACCTTGTGGGTTGTGTTATGGGCATGGGAATTTTGGTTAAGTTTCCTTGGGTTTTTTTGAGTTTTGTTGTTTTGCCGTTTTGTGAGTGTGTTGTTGTGTTGTTTTTCATTTTGAGTAGATATGTTTGTACCTTGTGGGTTGTGTTATGGGCATGGGAATTTTGGTTAAGTTTCGGGGGTTTTTTGAGTTTTGTTGTTTTGCCGGTTTGTGAGTGTGTTGTTGTGTTGTTTTTCATTTTGAGTAGATATGTTTGTACCTTGTGGGTTGTGTTATGGGCATGGGAATTTTGGTACAGTTTCGTTGGGGGGTTTGTGAGTTTTGTTGTTTTGCCGTTTTGTGTGTGTTGTTGTGTTGTTTTTCATTTTGAGTAGATATGTTTGTACCTTGTGGGTTGTGTTATGGGCATGGCAATTTTGGTTAAGTTTCGTTGGGGTTTTTTGAGTTTTTTGTTTTGCCGTTTTGTGAGTGTGTTGTTGTGTTGTTTTTCATTTTGAGTAGATATGTTTGTACCTTGTGGGTTGTGTTATGGGCATGGGAATTTTGGTTAAGTTTCGTTGAGGGGTTGTGGAGTTTTGCTGTCCCGTTGAACCAACCTAACAGATTTATATATATAGATAATGATTATTGTATTATATTGTATTTAAGAAGGATATAGACAAATTGGAGCAGCTTCAGAGAATGCCAACAGGATAAGAGCTACAGAGAACAAAAGACATGAGGAAAGGGTGAGGGAATTGGGCATGTTCAGACTTGAGAAAAGAAGACTTGGGGGTGATAGGGTACAAAGTTTAAATATTTAAAGGGCTAAACAGAATAGGGTAGAGATTTGTTGTTGGGTGCTCCGGAGGATAGAACCAGGTTTAACTGTTTTAAGTCACAGGAGAGTAGTCTTCAGTTGAACATCAGGAGGAACATTAATATCACTTCAGCAATGGAACCAATTGTCTAGAACAGTGATGGGTTCTCTTTTCCCTGGACATCTCCAAAAAGAGGCTAGATTGCTACTTATTGAGGATGCTGTAGCTATAGTTCCTGTACTGAACAGGAGGTTGGATCTGATGACTTATGAGGCCTCTTTCAGCTATATAACTCTATGAAAACACTGCATCCTATTTAGTTTTCCAGTTATATAAACAGTATCGTATTTGTTCAATTGTATATTTATAAACTGCTGTATTCTAGCCATTTCACTGGTCTGGAACTGGATATTTGCAAGTGCAACATCAACTGCACTAGTAGAAAGGTATCAACAGATACCAATCTTAAAATTTAGTTATTTGCTGCTCCAGTATAGTTACTCGGGACCATCTCACCTATAATAAATAGATCATGCTAAAAAAGGAATAAATGGTCCCAAAGCAGCTAGGGAATACTCTCATAATCTTAGGAGCAAAGTCTAAATGGGAGACATTTCTAGGTGGTAAAATGTATTGGGCTGGCCTTGCTTACCGTCAAACAAGCCATTTAAATTTAAGAGGAGGAAACATCAAGGGAGTTCAACTACTCAGTGACAAAGCACACATTTCGCAAGAAGAAAACACAGTAATAGATAACACAATTTGAATCCAGACATATAATAAATAAAATGTTTTGTTAAAGGAATTTCAAATAGCAGTTCCAGGGAAAGCCTGTATCCAAGATTTAGACAAGTTAAATCCTATTTTACAAGCAAAAGTCCTCTCTTTAAAGTGCTGTGTCTAATCTAAAGCTTGTCTAAAGAACCATAAGGATAGTAGTTGAGGCCCTGAACTTGTGCACCAACAATGAGAACATGGACATCAAATGCATCTGATCACTGTCTTGCCTACCATGGTGAAATGTATTTTATTCCCATTTAAGCTTATGCTTAACATTTCTTTCAATTTCAAGAGGTGCTAC